GTTGTTATGTCGTCACTCATGTAGTATACATCAAAGGGTGGTAAAAAGAAGCCAAACGAATTGTAAGATGAAACACCCGAAGCCCTAACGCCATGCTAGCATAATCTCGTCGGTCAACAGTAGGGAATTAAACCATAACGGTGATTGAAGGTGTTATCGAAGCCGAATAGTTCAGAATAGAGTAAATCCGGAACGATAGATAGGTGGCTGACCAGGAATCTGAGATTTGAACTCGACTCGTTTTGGCAAGAAGTTGCCCTGTGGAGCCTCGACAGCAACTCTCCATCGGCGCCAGCAGTTATTCGACTGATGATGGGTGTCACCGCAGAAGGTACATCGTACCGCGTTTGGTCTTACACGGTGATTCTGTCCTTCCGGCTCTGGCTGACTTTGACTTCGGTTCCTTGTCTTGCGCTCCTGTTCCTTGCGCATTTGCTGTATCACGTATTCATTGATCTCCTCCTGACTAGGCCTCTTCTGGTGTCCTTTGATGTTGCCATTTTGATGCAAATATCTTCCATCGTGGCTCATCTGCTTGACGACAAACGCATTGATCTCATCCTGTGTAAGCGCTCGCGGGGTTGCTGGCACGCTGGAGGTCGCCGCAACGGAAGCTTCATTATCCGAAGCGTTTCGCACTTTCGCGTCTCCCTGTTGGATAATCTTTTCCTGCTCGATGGCTAAGCTTGCAAGCTCCTGGAACGTTACGTGCTCGGTCGAGTTGGCAGCAGTTATGCGCGGGTCACGCAGCATGGCCGTTGCCCATTCGCTCCATTGCGGACGAGATTTGAGCTTAGTCAGAAACAGCGTGTTGACATGAGCATCAGGGAATTGGAAGTTGTCGTCGATTTGCATCAGACCTTCCCGTACAGCTTGGATGAGAGCAATGAATTCGGCAACCATGTCGGACTTGGCGGAGTCGAGGTCGAGAAACTCGCCGACTTGATGCATCATTCGGATATTCCGTTGCCAGATATCCATGTCGGCCTTCGCGGGGACTGAATACAAAATATCCTCTGGTCGAATTGGACGAGACGATTGAAAAGTATCTCTGCTTGAGAATCGTTTTCTGGTGATGTTTGTGTTGACAGGAGAGAGAAGCCAATCCGTGGCGCATGATGTCATGTGTCAATCTAACTGTATTGTATTTACAGGATGATGATTTGTCCAGTCCTTTCTAGTCAGTCCTGTAACTCAGCAGAATTTCACCATGCTCCTTCAACTTCTTCCATCAATGAAAAAAGGCACAAAATTACAAAATATCTGCTGCAGGCACTCGGTTGCCAATTCCTGGGTAAGCCCAAGCTTTCATGGCATCAGACTGTAGATCCGTGGTAGTTGTGTTCCAGTACTAGTCCAGAGCCGAAGAGGCAGTCCCAGCCTCAGCCCAAAACGACGATCATGAACTGGAGGGGGCCAAAGGAGGGCCGATTGCTCATGTTCATTTCTTATCTGCAGCGCTCTTTGCGCCCAAAGCATCAACTTGTGTTTTGACTTTTCCACAGCAGCATAGCTGAAAATGTGGAACATGCAACCCCACGTTTGAAAGTCGATTTTGATCTGTCTGGGACCCGCGCTGAACGGAAGATGGACACCGTGCCGCCATCGTATCAATCTGCAACAGCCAGAGATGCCTGGTCTATAATCGCTCACTATATCCCGTCAAGCGACCTATGCTCGGTTGTGCTCGTCTGTCGAAAATGGCACAACCTTTTTATGCCCTTCCTTTGGGGTGATCCGGCCTCTCACTTTGGAACCGAAAATGATGCGGTCTATGGTGAGACTTGAGGGTCCAACTCACTCTCTGCGGTCTTCCGCTGACAGAAGGATACCTGATACCAGTTGCATTGACACGGTTCAAAAGGACCTTGAAATATGCCCGTCTTGAGGTGCGGATGCTCACCCATACGCTTCATATGCCCCCGGCCCTCTCTGAGATTTACGGCGGCCCGCGACCAGAATGGTTGAGGGAAATCCTCGAGTATCTGCCCTGCCTCCAATCACTGATCGTATGCAAATTACCTTTCTTTGACCACAATGCTATGATGGCGTTGAAGAGTCCTGCCAAGCACGAACCGCCTGATGCAGCGGCGTTCAAGACATATAGCGTCCGTTTGCTGATGGCGGAGAGAGAACCCAATACAACGTCTCAGGGACTCGCAGAGACATTGCTGCGATTCCAAGAACTTGTGTACCTGGACCTGTCATATACAACTCCTGCTCGAGATTGCATGGTGCTTTCTTCCTTGTCTCAGCTGGAGCGGCTCCAGGTGCTAAAACTTCGAGGTATCGGCCTGAGAGATAGTGAGGCAGAGTTCTTAGCCAACGCCATCGGGACCAGGGTCCGTTTCTTGGATCTGCGCAACAATCTGCTGACCGATATGACTGTGCGGTCTCTGCTGCAAGCTTCATTTGTCCCTAGTGGCCTCCCCACGAATGAAGTCGACTGGAGAGGAGGATCATTCATGTTTCATGATAGACTACTCAGGCGTGCGGCTTTAGACGATCAGTTTGTCAAAGCTTTGACACAACCTTTGACAGGCCGTTCTTGGGTTGAGGACCTTTCGCACGTAGGAATAACACATCTCTACATAGCGGACAACCAGCTTACAGTCGAAGGCGTTGCGAGTCTCCTGGCTTCATCGAGACTGCACGTCCTCGACGTTGGAACGGTTGATACAGCCGAATCCTTGGAGAGAGCACGCCAACCGACAATTCCATTGCCTACCAACGAGAAACTCGCTAGATTCCCTGGGGCTGAAAAATTGATACCAGTACTTGGGTCTATCGCCAAAGATAACCTGACATATTTTCGAGCTCATCATGCTCTGTGCACAGCCAACACCCCTTTTAAAGAGCCTGACTCAACGCGGGATTTATTGCCTGAGCTTCCAGACGATGCCAGCAGTAACATTCAACCCAAGGCGGAAATGGACGCTGCGAACGAGATTAACGAACTATGTGCGGAAGCTCATCCTGTTTTTGAGCTCGAAGCCACTGAGATTGTCAGGCTTTCCAGCTCAGCCGGTGGTTTAGATGAGGCGCGCCTCGAGTCGAGCACTCACCGGGACGAGCCTGTACCTCAGGTGAGAAGGGGTTCCATCTTTGCTCCTGAGGTAGTTGAACCAAACCCGGATTGGGGAAGTAATGGCAACATGACAGCCGACCGTAGTGAAACAGTCAATTCTGGCCCTTTCATGGCTAGCACAGGCTTAGCTTCAGCCTGCCTTGGACAATCCGGCCTGCATTTGACGGCACCTGAGTCGGTTTCACGATGTGCCTCTCCAGTTTCAGCTGATGGTTTTCGGGCACAGAAAATCCAAGAACTGCTTGCCAAAAGGCCTAAGAATCAAAGCTTACCTCGCCGCGATGGTAGCGAAGGGAGCTTTCCGTATTTGCATCCTTCCCACGTCCCTCACCTCGAGACTTTAGTGTTAACTGATGTTCCCTCTCATGTGCCTGAAGACTCCCCCATCCTGGGTGCACTGATCCGATTTATAACAGCCTGTTCGAACGAGGCTTTGTTAGCTACTCTCCAGGCGGGATCGGACTACTCTCTTCCACCTGGGCGAGCCCGGGCCCACGCTGAGCAGGAACGATCTCGATCGCTTTTTGCTTTGCGTCGGTTGGTACTTGAAATCACTCCCACGACTCTCCTGACACGTTCAGCCCGGCTCAGTCCGTGGAAATCCATCAGTCAGCAAAATGGGACGTTAAGATCCAGTACCGGCGACCATGATTCCGAGAATCTGTGGTCAGCAGCCACAGGCGACTTTAGTTTCTTCGGTGAAGATGAATGTGGTATACCCGAAATTGATCCGGGAAAGTACTTTCCTATGGCTGTACTCAATGAAAAGGTGACGCTCATACCGGAGGATGAAGAGTTCGGACGTCCTGGACCTCCAGAGGCAGATGCGTCTTTCACATCTAATTCGTTTCAGCCCGCTGGAGCTTATTCTCCAAGAAATCGGTCGCAGACTGGCTCGTTGAGCCCGGTACCCGGTTCTGTAGCTGACGCTCGATCGAGTTCCATTACGGTCAACGAAGGTGATGGAAGCAACATGCCGGTTGCTGATACCAGACAGGTCGACCTTGTCGCAGAATTGGCTGCCTTCCGCCGTGCAAAAAAAGTTGAGTACGAAGAAGTTGTCCGGGCCGATCGAGAGAGACGAAGCATGAGCTGGACTGCATCTTCCCACCTCTCCCCCTCAGCGGAACCTATTCGACCAGTGTCTCCGAGTCCGAGTGTAAGAACCATGGCAGCGGTCTCTGCACCTCATCTGTCCATTGCGCAATTCGTCGAAGGACATTGGAAAGGTGAAGTAAAGATTGTCCGCAATGCAGCGCCAAAGGGGCGGACTGGAGTCGTCGATATGTATGGGAATTACTTTGAAAAGGGATATTTATATCCTTGAACGATAATATATATCTTTTGGCTTACTTATCACTGGCAGCTTAGGGTAGCATTAGATATCAGGCAGAATCCCTTGCATCTAAGGACGTGTATAGTCGATCGTGTGTTTCTCAAGCTGTGCTCCCTGCGAATACAAAGGTCCTGTCACTGAGATCAAGAGAGCTTCTACTGTAGCCCTCTGCCCTAATCCAGTTGTGAATGGGTCAAACGGCGGTGCTGGTCTTCTTCTGGTATACCATACTCAATGATTGTCGTCGTGGCGGAAGAGATAAACTGTAAGGTAGAAGAGGAGACCGGTCTCCTCGCGTTTTATTCCTCATTCCCAGACTTTCTCTAGTTCATGCACAGTTACCCTATGGACAACCGAGTGGCTTGAAAATCGTTTTTTAATTTGAACTGCGTCTCCTGCCCACGGCGACAGGGAGCGACCATTATGCCTTGTCATGCTTCTTTCGAACCCCCGAAGACAGACTTGAAACCCATTCATTCCATTTTGAACCGAGTAAGAAAGTTTGTATGAAAAAGAAACGTCACAAAACAGAAGTTCTTAAGACCAATCCCGTTTGATCATCTCTTTTTCCCTTCCTTACATAGCCTTGGCGGCCTGAGGGGGAGCCAGCTTCTTGCCATCCTTGTTGTACCTGATACGTGGGGGAGGAGCGCGGTTACGACGACCTTCCCGGGAGCGGACACTGTAGTGGATAATCGTCAGTAAGGCCTGATTCTTTCCTTACATGATGCAAAGCCAAGTAGATTCCAAGCTGTGATCAAAAATGGGACGGTGCGTACCGAACGATCTTGCCGTGGATAGCGCAGGAGACGCAGTACTGCAGCTTCAGGTACATCTTGGGGACGGCATAGTCGGTGAAAACGGAGGCGTCAGAGATATCACCTGTGTTTAAGAATGTCTCGGGTCAGTTCCGTCGTCTATCAGATTTCATTTTCCCATGTCCAGTTCATGCGTCGCGCTGTGGTAGCTTCGTCCAGTAAACCCCGTCCGTCCAATCCAGTTCCGAATCATCTCAACGGCAGCACTATGGACGTGGTTTCAATGGTATGGGTTTGACAAGGGTTCGAACGTACGGATGGCAGCGGACTCAACCATGTTGCGGATGGTGAATCTCTTGATCGCCTTGTCCTTAGGAGTGCAACGAGCGCAGTTGGAGCAGCGCACGGGCTTGACGTGGCCGCGGCCGTTCTTGTTGCGACCGCTGTAGAAAAAGACAAGAAATGTCAGCCTGGCTAGATTCTCTCAGGAATTTGAAGTTCAAAATTTCCCCTCCTCTTTCAATTCCATCGTAGAAACCACCGCATACACAACCGACATTCTCGACAGGCGGACATCATGGCGCTCCCATCGGCGGTGGTGGATCTTGAAATTTGACAACCGGGTTGAAGACAGGAAAAGGGAAATTCGCTCTTACTTGTTCGCCCTCTTCTTGACCATTTTGACGGATTTCTCTGCAAGGTACGGTCAGAGATTTGAAGTTGTAGAAGGAGGGGAGGCGGCGTACTTGGCTGTCGGGTTTGGTTGTCGTAAGGCACTGGACGCTCTCAATCGCTAGTCGTGAATGAGGTTGTGCCGGGTTTGTGTGGAAGCCCTATGCCCTTAAGCGAGGCTCGGTCACGGGATACGGCTGATGCCTCAGGTATCAATGCACCCTCAAGATGGGTGACGGCGGTGGCCTGACAGCCTAAGGCCAATTAGACCCTCACGTGCAGATCCAGAGTTCGAGGGAGAGCCTTAAAATAGACTAGTGGCCGAGTCGTCCCAGCGTTACGGGTCTTACGGTACCTAGGTACCTACTCCGTACGGTCCACGGATGTCCCTAACCATTCTTAACGGGTGACTCGTACCACTCTGCGGTTTCTACACGGCGGCTCCCGTGAATGGGGCGTATTGTTATTACCCATTGTTTACCTATCCCTGCCCAACTCTGGCAGTTATTAACTCCTTAACAGCCAATAGTTGACCCTCGAACTCCTCTGAGACAACCCCTGTTCATCCGTATCTTTCTCGTTGTACGGAGTACTTAGGTCGTGCTGGTGGTCTGCTGCTCACCCCCAGTGGTACGTTGTCTATCTCTGTTGAAAGTCTCTTTCACCTTCTCTTCTGATCTGACATTGATTCGAGTGACTCGAAGCTCAGATTCGTGATACTTATACGTCGAATAGGTCTAACACTCTTCCCCTCCTGGTCATTCGTTTCCTAGCTCTCTCCGTCTGTGATACCCCCTCACCGAAAATCCGTCCATACCGATCGGTGCCATGTCGGCTGCAGGAGGGACCTATAGGGGCACAACAAGCCAAAAAACCCTCGGAAGAGGGAGGCTGCCGGACTTTGAGAACAGTCCTGCATCCCACATTCCGCGGCCTCGACCAGAAACTTCAGCATCAACACACACACCCTCCAGCGACGTTGGAAGTTCCACCATGAGTGCTGCAAGCAGGCAAAGACAAAACCAGTCGAAGCGAGATGAGGTCAGTAATCCCTGGTGGCCTATCCTTGGTCGCAAACTTCTGGTTGCATGGCCTTGTATTCCCTCCTAGCCCCTTGTTTATGGTTTCCCACAGAACGTAGCGAACAGCGATTTGCTGTCATAGAAATGAATTCTAACGCGTTGCTATGAAGGCTATTCGACGCAAAATGGAGGCGGACCTCAATAAAAAGAGGCACCAGGCTCCAAGAGCGAATCGCACGCGTAAAGCTCCCCCAGGAACCGTGCTTGCTTTGAAGCCTAGTCAGGCCCTTCAGATTAAACCCAACACTACCGTCGCAGAAGCCGCACAACTGATGGCCGCCAAGAGAGAAGACTGTGTTCTTGTCACAGACGATGATGACCGCATTGCTGGTATTTTCACTGCGAAGGATCTTGCGTTCCGTGTGGTCGGGAATGGTCAAAAAGCTCGCGAAATTACTGTTGCGGAAATCATGACGAAGAACCCCCTGTGTGCGAGAACAGACACCAGCGCGACGGACGCCCTTGATCTCATGGTTAGAAAGGGCTTTAGACATCTGCCGGTTATGGATGAGAACCAGGACATCTCCGGTATCCTCGACATTACGAAGTGCTTCTACGACGCGATGGAAAAGCTGGAGCGTGCGTACAGCTCTTCCCGGAAACTCTACGACGCCTTGGAAGGTGTACAGACAGAACTAGGCTCCACCCAGCCTCAGCAAATTATCCAATACGTGGAAGCACTGCGCTCAAAAATGTCCGGCCCGACCCTCGAGAGTGTCCTGGACGGCATGCCTCCAACTACAGTATCTGTCCGCACTTCCGTGAGGGATGCCGCGGCTCTGATGAAGGAACATCACACAACTGCTCTGCTCGTGCAGGACCAGGGCTCCATCACCGGTATCTTCACCAGCAAGGATATCGTTTTGCGTGTAATTGCCCCAGGACTGGACCCTGCCACTTGTAGTGTCGTTCGTGTGATGACTCCGCATCCCGATTTTGCTCCTGCTGATATGAGCATCCAAGCCGCTCTCCGCAAGATGCATGGTTAGTGATCTCGCTTCCTCTGAGGCTGCAACAGAATGGCTAACCCGCCCTACTTCAGATGGTCACTACTTGAATTTGCCTGTTATGAACGAGACGGGCGAGATTGTCGGCATGGTGGATGTGCTCAAGCTCACATATGCCACTCTTGAGCAGGTTAGTCAAGGCCTTTCTGAAAATTGTGACTTTGAACTGACCAGAGATGCAAGATCAACTCCATGCAATCGCATGACGACGAGGGCCCCGCATGGAACAAATTCTGGTTGTCGATGGATCACGAGTCCGATTCAATGGTGTCCGGCAGCCACCAAGCCCCGAATCGTTCCGTTCTTAGTCCCGAGTCACCTAGACCGGGGGTGGAGGGCCGTGACAGTGTGCTCCCTAACGAATCCGCGTCCCACCACGGCGGAGATGAGCTTTCGGAATATCACGACCATCACCATCATCACGACGAGAACACACCGTTCCCCTTCAAATTCAAGGCTCCTAGCGGCCGCGTGCACAGAGTCAATGTTGTCGCTTCCGCTGGCGTCGCTGACTTAGTTGCTCAAGTCACAGCCAAGTTGGGTAACGAGCTGGAGGCAGTCGGTGGTGCAGCCACCGTCGAGGAGGGCAGACTCAGCAATACGGGTTACGCCTTGAGCTACTTGGACAATGAGGGTGACACCGTTTCTATCACCACCGATCAGGATCTGGCAGATGCCGTCAGTCTCGCCCGTCGCTCGCACCGTGATAAGGTTGATCTTTTTGTCCACGACCCTGCTCAGCCCCCAATTCCAGCAACGTTGGATCCCCAGCCTGCTCCAGCCAGGGCCGTCGAGGAGAAAAGCTCCGTTGTCGCTGAAGAGCGGCTCTCCGAGGAGCCACTTATTCCCAAGGCCCATCAGTCGTTCCCAGCACGTCCCACCGAGGAGCAGTTCATCGCCGGCGTACCCAATGAGCTTCTACTTCCAGGCGCGATCGTAACCCTGGCAGCAGTTATTGCTGGAGTATTCATTCTCAGCCGCGCGACAAGTCGATAGACGATGACACCGCTTTAAATTGGGGTTGATTCGTAATGAACGGCAGGCACATCATGTATATCTTGTCGATCTAACTCCATCTTTGCTGTGCCATACTTGCAAATCCCAAGAGCGACCTCTTCTCTCCTTCTTTTTCCCATTTTCCATTACCATCTTCATTTAATCTAAGTGTGACTGTTCGGATACCGCGAGTGTTTTTAGTGAGGGCATATTAGCAATGCATATAGTTTCTCCCAAAAGAATGAAAATTTTCTCAAGAATATCTACTTCTGTTCTTGAACTTCCGTAGACGCGTTTCAGTAGACACCTCATGGTGGTAAATCAGGGAGATAGGGCAGGTGATGATAAGTGGATGCCTGGATGCCTGGGATTTCCTGATCGGGCCTAGCGCGGCGCTCCCTCGATGGCTGGAATTATTTTTTGGTTTCTTGAGGCTTCAAACTGGTCCATCCCACATCGCTCAAGACGCTTTGAATTGTCCCTTCCTGTTCGCCAGCAGCTCCTTGTCGAGCTGGAATGCTGAGCTTGCACTTGTGCTGTGCATATTTCTGGATTTGATTATCGTTCTTATCTAGTCGGATCACTAGTCTTTCTCCAGCAGACAGACACCGTTCAACGGAGTTGTACTTACACCTTGTACTTACACCTTACTGTCCACCCCCACCAAAGAAAAAAAAAACAACCAGAAAAGGGAATATAGCCCCCGTCCACCAGCCCAGCTTCAGCGCTGGATTCACACACTCATCACCGTTCCTAAACGGGATACAGTCGATCTACAGCTGAATTATCGTTTCTACGTGACCAGCGATCAACATGTCGCTGCTCCCACCCGAGGTCCACTCCGCGCTGTCCCAGCTGCTGCGCGCGTTGACTACTCCCGACAACACAGTCCGTACTCAGGCGGAAGAACAGTTGAACAATGACTGGATCCAGAACCGTCCGGATGTTCTTCTTATGGGCTTGGCCGAGCAGATTCAGGGCGCGGAGGATACAGTAGTAAGTGATACAAGTCTCGTCAGGGGATGTGGGGACCGTGTCTGGTGGAGGCAGAGAGACAGACTGAAAGCCTTCTGTCCACTGCGGACTTGAACGCTGTGTCCGCGCCTTCCTGAATTCGACTGATTTTTGTTAATTCTTCACCACAGACGCGTACATTCGCTGCCGTGCTTTTCAGAAGAATCGCGACCAAGACACGGAAAGACCCGGTCACAAATGAGGCCAAGGAGCTCTTCTCAACACTCTCCGGGGAACAGAGATTGGTCATCCGACAGAAGTTGGTGACGTGTTTGACGACCGAATCTGGGACTGATGTCCGGAAAAAGATTGGCGATGCAGTCGCGGAGGTTGCCAGACAATACACCGATAACGGTATGCGCAGTTTCATGGGTGGTGAAAGAATTCCATATCTGATAATGGTCTTCTCTAGGCGATCAATGGCCCGAGCTTCTCGGCGTGCTTTTCCAGGCCAGCCAGTCACCCGAGGCAGGCTTGCGGGAGGCTGCCTTCCGCATTTTCTCGACCACCCCCAGTATCATCGAGAAGAACCACGAGGATGCCGTTTCAGGCGTATTCGGCAAGGGTTTCAAGGATGATGTTGTCTCTGTATGTTGGGACCCTTCAACATAGCGTTCGCGGGAGTCCCGGTTGACCATTGTGCTTGTAGGTTCGCATTGCCGCTATGGAGGCCTTCGCTTCGTTCTTCCGGTCTATCTCCAAGAAGTCTCAGCCCAAGTTCTTCGGACTCGTGCCCGACATGCTCAACATTTTGCCCCCTTTGAAGGAGTCCTCCGAGAGCGAGGAGCTATCTTCCTCCTTCTTGGCTCTCATTGAGCTTGCGGAGGTTTGCCCAAAGATGTTCAAGGCCATGTTCAACAATCTGGTCAAGTTCAGTATTAGTGTGATTGCCGACAAGGACCTCAGCGACCAGGTTCGCCAGAATGCCTTGGAGTTGATGGCTACATTCGCCGATTACGCACCCTCCATGTGCAAGAAGGATCCCGAGTTTGCTCAGGAGATGGTGACCCAATGTTTGAGCTTGATGACCGACATTGGAGTCGACGATGACGATGCTTCGGAATGGAATGCGTCCGAGGACCTGGACTTGGAGGAGAGCGACCTCAATCACGTTGCTGGCGAACAATGCATGGACCGGTTGGCCAACAAACTTGGCGGCCAGGTTATCCTTCCTGCGACCTTTGCTTGGATCCCCCGCATGATGTCGTCCTCCGCCTGGCGCGATCGCCATGCGGCGCTGATGGCCATCTCCGCCATTTCCGAGGGCTGCCGTGACCTGATGGTCGGTGAACTCGATCAAGTGCTAGCCCTGGTTGTGCCGGCTCTCCAGGACGCTCACCCACGTGTCCGTTACGCCGGCTGCAACGCCCTCGGCCAGATGAGCACCGACTTCGCCGGAACGATGCAGGAGAAGTACCACAACGTTGTGTTGAACAACATCATCCCCGTTTTGGATAGCGCTGAGCCACGAGTTCAGGCCCACGCGGCCGCCGCTCTGGTCAATTTCTGCGAAGAAGCGGAGAAGAAGGTACTCGAGCCGTACCTTGCTGACCTTCTGAGACACCTTCTGCAGCTTCTGCGCAGCGAGAAACGTTATGTGCAGGAACAAGCGCTGTCCACCATTGCCACGATTGCCGACTCCGCGGAGAACGCCTTTGATCAATTCTACGAAACCCTGATGCCATTGCTCTTTAATGTCCTAAAGGAGGAGCAATCCAAGGAGTACCGTCTACTGCGTGCCAAGGCGATGGAGTGCGCGACTCTGATTGCTCTCGCTGTGGGCAAGGAGAAGATGGGACAGGATGCGTTGAATCTCGTGCAGCTGCTCGGCAACATCCAACAGAACATTGTCGATGCGGATGACCCGCAGTCGCAGTACTTGCTCCACTGCTGGGGCCGTATGTGCCGCGTTCTTGGTCAGGACTTTGTCCCTTACCTGCCAGGCGTCATGCCTCCTCTGCTGTCGGTTGCGGCTGCCAAGGCCGACATTCAGCTGTTGGATGATGAGGACCAGATTGACCAAGTTGAACAGGATGAGGGCTGGGAGTTGGTTCCCCTGAAGGGCAAGATCATCGGTATCAAAACCAGCGCATTGGAGGACAAGAACACCGCCATTGAGCTGATTACCATCTACGCTCAGATCCTGGAGGCTGCTTTTGAACCCTTTGTGCTGGAGACGATGGAGAAGATTGCCGTGCCTGGACTTGCCTTTTTCTTCCACGACCCCGTGCGGGTTTCCTCCGCCAAGCTCATCCCTCAGCTCTTGAACTCGTATAAGAAGGCGCACGGTGTGCAGTCTCCCGGATTCGCTGCGATGTGGAACAAGGTAGCTGAGAAGATCATTGAGGTTTTGAGTGCCGAGCCCACTGTGGACACTCTGGCGGAGATGTACCAGTGCTTCTACGAATCCGTCGAAGTGGTTGGCAAGAACTGCCTGAGCCAGCAGCACATGGAAGCGTTCATCGAATCTGCCAAGTCCACACTGGAGGATTACCAGGTGCGTGTGAAGGCCCGTATTGAGGAGCGCGCCGATACGGAAGAAGGTGATGAAGAGGACCTCGACTACGAGTACGCGGTCGAGGATGATCAGAACCTGCTGAGCGACATGAACAAGGCGTTCCACACCATCTTCAAGAACCAGGGTACGACCTTCCTGCCTTCATGGCAACGCTTGCTGCCATTCTACGATGCGTTCATCACCAGCCAGGACCCCACCCAACGGCAATGGGCTCTGTGTATCATGGACGACGTGCTCGAGTTCTGCGGCGCCGAGTCGTGGAATTACAAGGACCACATCATGCAGCCCTTGGCCGCGGGACTGCGCGATGAGAATGCCGCCAACCGGCAGGCATCGGCCTACGGAGTCGGTGTTGCCGCTCAGAAGGGTGGCCCGGCCTGGAGCGACTTCGTCGCTGCCAGCATTCCGAGCCTGTTCCAGGTGACACAAATCAACCAGGCTCGTACGGAGGAGCATGTGTTTGCGACCGAGAACGCCTCGGCCAGTATCGCCAAGATCCTGCACTATAACCCCGGCAAGGTGCAGAATGCACAGGAGGTCGTGGCGAACTGGATCAACACACTTCCTATCACTTATGATGAGGAGGCTGCGCCATACGCTTATTCCTTCCTTGCCCAATTGATTGACCAGTACGTTTGTCCCCGTTCGGAGAGTGCTCTCTGATTGACTGACCATTGATAGACAACACCCGGTGGTGATGTCCAATGCCGACAAGGTGTTTGGATACATCGTGCAGGCTCTGGAAGCCGAGACGCTGCAGGGCCAGACGGCAGGACGCGTGGCCAACTCGGCGAAGCAACTGGTGGCCGCTACAGGGCTGAATGCAGAACAAATCCTGGCAGGAGTGAGCCCTGACAACCAGGCAGCGGTGCGAAGCTACTTCCAGTGAGCCTTTTTAATATATTTTGTTGTTTTTTCTTCTTCTCTCGGTATGAATCTCGATATGCATGCAAGTATATGAATACAACTGGCAGTTATGATTTGTCATTTGTGTTTTTTTGTTTTTCTTTATTCCTGTGATGAGTCTCCATACGGCGTGTGTGAGAGTCCTGATCCCAAGAGGGATTATCTATCTCGTTGAGTTATAAACCATGACTTTGGATTGAATAGACAGTATCTTTCGTCCTTTGGTAAATCATACTCGGTAACGTGTCATAAAGATCGTCGTCGTCATATGCGTATATACGGCTTTACAATGGCTACGAATTCACTCCACGACCATCTCCAGGATCTCCAGCACTTGCCCCTTCTCAGTCAACGGCACGGGATTAGTCTTGCACCAGCGATCATGCAGACTGTTGGCCGCCAGCTCGTCCAGCGCATCCCGACCCACCCCAACGTCCTTCAACGAGCGCGGCATGCCCAGCTCCCGAATGACGGCATCCAAGACATCGCCCAGATCCGCCGCGGAGGCCTCAACGTTCCGATCGCGCAGCACCCGCGCCACCTCCGCGTTCCGAACCAGGAACTGGCGCACCCGCTCCTGCTGCTCCCGATTGGCGCCATGCTTCGCGTTGAACTTGCACACAGCGGGCAGCAGGATACAGCTCGTCTCGCCATGCCCGACCCCCAGCGGCCCAAGCTGATGGCCTATCCCATGGCTCGCGCCCAACTCGACCGACCCGGCCTGACCGCCCGTCAACGCCGCCATGGCGTTCACCGCGCCAAGCTGGCACTGCAGGCGCGCGTCGCGGTCGGCACGGGCCCGGTCATGCTTGCACCGCAGCAGGCCGGGGACGAGCAGATCCAGCGCGTGCATGGCGTGCGCGTCTGTCGTTTCGGTCGTGCCTGTCGTCGCGCACAGCGTCTCGACGCAGTGGTCCACGGCGCGGATGCCCGTGCTCAGCCAGATGGCGTCTGGGGTGGTGGTTGCGAGGTCCGGGTCGAGGATGACGAGCTGGGGTCCGCGCGTCGGCGCCTGGAAGGCGTGTTTGCGACGGGATTGATCGTCGGTCGCGCCGGCGAAGTTGGAGTACTCGCCTGCGGAGAGGGAGGTGGGGATGGAGATGATGGGGACGGTGGGTGGGTGGATGTCGGCGCGTTGGTTGGCACCCGTGGCTAAAGCGGCGAGGTCGGTTGCAGTCTGGACGTTGTTTGCAAGAGCCTGCACTCATTAGTCACTTTAATCCTACAGATTGTCATGAGAAGGGGGAATACCAATGCAACCACCTTGGCTCCATCGGTCAGACTACCCGCGCCCAGCGTCAAGAGCAGATCGGCCTCAGCTCGGCGCGCATCGTGCACGATTTCCAGGACTTCAGACCATAAGGTATGGCTCTGCATGCCGATCCGGCGGCCTGCAACCTTTTCCGGTCCCAGCGCCGCTGTCAGACGGTCCAAAGCATCTGTGTTGCGGGCCAGTGAGCCCGAGCAAATGATGTAGATTTTTGAGGCCTTGAAAGTGTCGACGACATGGTGGGCCGCGGCGGCGGGGAAGGGAATGCCATACGAGAGCAGAGGACGAGGCCGGTCGGCGAAGGCCGGACGAAGTGTTTCTGGCATTTTGAGTGAGGATGAAGTTCTGGAAGGCGAGAAATCTGTACAATCAGGGTTGAGATGTATAATCTGTGTGGAAACTGAAAACTGAGAAAAACATAGACAGTCGCAGGCAGAAGGGACCAGACGTGGGGCTGGGGAGGAGATTCCTTGATTTCTGATCTCAAGCAAATGTCGACAGTGAGATTGCATCATGGCAATCGCTTCCCAATTAAATTCAAACTGTTCGATTGGATATCTTATACACAGACAGAACGTACATACACTCGAACGCCTCCAATACCCAGAAATGTATACAACGTCTTTTTGGTCCAACATCACCGTACATAGATCACTGGTGTGCCCGCTTGGCCAACAAGTTCAGGGCACTTCCGGCCAGGATGAAGCCACACTGGTCCTTGCTCAGAGTGTGGTTGACTGGAATCGTCAGCTTCTCGCCGTTCTTCTTGGTGATCTGCAGCTGGATTGATCCCTGACCACCGGACTGCAGTGTCTCGTACAGTCCGACAGTGTCGACCTGGTCGCATGCGTCGATGCGGTCGTAGTCGGCCTTGTCGGCGAACGTCAGGGGGACCACACCCTGCTTCTTCAGGTTGGTCTCGTGGATACGCGCGAAGCTCTTGGCCACGATGATTCGGCCACCCAGATACCGGGGCTGCAGCGCCGCGTGCTCACGCGCGCTACCCTCGCCATAGTTGTCCTCAGCCACAACCAGCCATTCAATGCCGTCGGCCTTCCATTGAGCAGCCAGGTCGGGAATCGAGTGTTTGTTGCCGGCGTCGTCGTACGCGACGTTCGTCTCACCCGTCGCAGCGTTGACCGCACCGATCAGAGTGTTGGCGGAGATGTTGGGCAGGTGGCCCTTGTACTTCAACCACGGACCGGCCGCGGAGATGGTGTCGGTTGTGCACTGACCCTTGACCTTGTACAGGACCTTCAAGCCGGACAGCTCGCCCGCAGGGAAGGGAGCGAAAGGCTCCAGCAGAGCGAGACGCTCGGAGGTGGGGGAAACGATGACCTCCACGGAGGCGTCAGGGACACCCGCGCTGGGCTGGAAGGCAGGGTTGCCGTCGGCGAACCCAGCGCTGGGGAGATCAGAGCCCTGGGGCGGACGGAACTTGAAGTTTTCACCGCTCGAGGTCTTCAGAGTGTCGGTCATGGGGTTGAAGGTGGTGCTGCCCGAGTAGGCGAGGGCGGTCACAATCTCTGGCGACGCCAGGAAGTTCATGGTGCGTCGGTTGCCATCGTTGCGTCCGGGGAAGTTACGGTTGTAGGAAGTGAAGATGGCATTGTCCTCACCCTTGGCGACACCATCGGTTCGCTTCCACTGTCCAATGCAGGGTCCGCAGGCGTTGGCCAGAACGGTGCCGCCTGCCTCGGAGAAGGACGACAGGGTCTGATCACGGTCCAGAGTGGCCCGAATCTGCTCACTGCCAGGCGTGATGAAGAAGTCCGCCTTGGGCTTCAGGCCTGCCGCCGACGCCTGCTTGACCAGGTCCTCTGCGCGAGTCATGTCCTCGTAGGAACTGTTGGTGCAACTACCGATCAATCCAGCACCAAGAGTCTCGGGCCACTTGTTCTGGCGGACAGTGTCGGCGAAGTCAGACAGACGCACGGACAAATCCGGAGTGAAGGGTCCGTTGACGTGAGGTTCCAGCGTCGACAAGTCAATTGTGATCACCTGGTCGTACTCTGCGCCATCGTCGGCCCGCAGAAGGTTCTTGGGGCCCGATGCAGCAATCTCGGCCGCCGCCTGGGCCACATGGCCTCGGTGCGTCGCCTGCAGGTAAGGAACCATGCTGGGGGAGAAGGGGAAGACCGAGGTGGTGGCTCCGACCTCCGCACCCATGTTGCAACATGTAGCCATGCCGGTGCAGCTGAGCGTCTCGACGCCCGGTCCATGATACTCGATCACATAGCCGGTACCACCGCGGACGGTGAGCTTACCAGCCAGATGCAGAATGATATCCTTGGGCGAGGCCCAGCCGCTGAGCTTGCCCTCAAGACGCACACCAAGAATGCGAGGCGCCTTCAATTCCCAGGGAGCATCCACCAATGCATCCACTGCATCTGCACCACCGACACCAATAGCGATAGCTCCCAAACCTCCCGCGTTGGGAGTGTGGCTGTCCGTGCCCAGCATCATCAGACCAGGAGCGGCATAGTTCTCCAACACACTCTGGTGAATGATACCCGCACCGGGGGGCCAAAACTCAATACCGTAGCGCTTGGCGGCGCTCTCGAGGAAGTCGAACACTTCCCGGTTACCCTGGATAGAGGCAGGCAGATCGGTGTCCGCGCCACGCTCACCCACGATCATATGGTCGCAGTGAATACTGGCGGGCACCGCGGTCGACGGCAGGCCACAGGACATGAACTGCAACAACGCCATCTGGGCTGACGCATCCTGCATCGCCACTCGGTCCGGCTTCAACTTCAGGTTGGCCTTGCCGCGAATGTCTTTTCCATTGTTAGTGCCGGTCAACAGGGACTCCTCCGCATTGTCCAGATGGGCGTAGATGATCTTCTCCGCCAGGGTGAGGGCACGCGATGATCCCAACACCTTCCGAACCTGCTCGAGATTCCGCACAATCTTAGGGTAAGGCGGCATGCGTGCGGCGGAGGCTTCAGTGGCTAGGCCACGTCGTGTGAACAATTGTTGCGGGGGGAGGCATTTCGGGGCCAGCTATGGGGCAGTGGAGTTAGTCACAGTAGGAAAGAACAATTGTCTGTGGCCTTAGGATTGCATCCAGAAGCCATTGAGTAGAGATAGCACAAAGAAAGAGAAAACCTACCCTGCGAGAGGCGGTAGCCCGTTGCCAGACAAGCTGCCTCACCATCTTGACGCCCTGTGGAAGAGTGGATTGCGGAGAAAGAAGACAGTTCTCGGTCGATGGGCAACATTTAATGGGCCTTTTTTGTGTTTTTTTCCTCCGCTACTTTTTGGCTTACTTATTTGACTGCAATCTGATTGGCTAGGACCTACGCCGATGCCGGGGCTGGCTTGGATCTTACGGTACGGGTACGGTACGGTACGTTGGGACAGCGGTCATCCTTATTTCCAGGTAAATTACGGTAAACCGATTATACAGCTCGCCAGGTTGCTTACTAAAATTTATGCTGAGGTTGCCAGGTCCACCTGTATTAGATTACATACCACTACCCCTTTGTGGCTTAGTAAATAACGCTGGGGGTATCGCGCCGCCTCTCGCTGCTTTTACCCACTCCCCCGCCGCTCCAACATTCCCCGAGTCCCATAGCCGCTTTCTAAAGCTCCGGGCGCTAAGCGAGATCCCGTGTTACGCTACACTAAACTCGGCAACTGTGGCCTCATCTCCCCACAATTTTCCACATTTGTGTAATCATCTCCCAGTCTTTGTGTTAACCAGAATATGTGCTATCATTCCTACTATGCTAGAAATGGTCGTCTAGACACCTTTTTGGCTGAGTGGTTTTATGGTTGAGACTTTGATTCCTCCGGCGAGAATTTGCTCATCTGGGTCGATATCCTCGCTGACACTCGAGCTGGCTTCATCGTCTCTAGTCAGTGTATAGCCATCGAGGGATGGCGGCCCCGATTCAGCGCTGTCCATCAGTATTGTTTCCGCGTACTTGGAGAAGGAAGGTCAGGCAGATGACTTAGATCAACGAGTGGACTATAGGACTGCCAGCAAATGGATTCGACCCGCTCTGGATTGAGGGCAATTACTCTGGGGAAATACCGGAAGAAATCGCTGAATACCTCGGGTCCGAGGAGAGCAATAGTGAGTCCTATCTTCTATTCAAAGGGAACGTGTACGACGTTTCTGACTGAGACGTGTAGAATCCACCCAGATGATCGGCTCGAATAGAAGCATTTTCTGGCTATTCGGACTAAACGACCTGGTAAAGGTTATCGATGATCCGGCTTGTCTCATAGAAGATGAAGTGGTCCTTGTCCCTCAAGGCACACACCCGGTAGGCTTCTTGCTGAACCGGTACGTGGAAGAGCGGAAGATTCCCGGGTATATATTCAAGAGGTACGAGAGGTACTTCACGGTCTGTCCACCATTATTCTCGCCTACAGCTGTTGCTTTGCCGCTGGGTGATACACCTTCTCAAGTCACGGACGGCATCACTCACCACAGGATTCCCGAGCTGTATCCCCTTTGTCGCCCACAAACATTACCGGAGACAGTCCTATGCTTAAAGATGAAACGTCATAAAAGTACAGAAAAATTAGAAGCCCAGTTGAGAAATCAGTTACGGGATACCCTAGATCTGGGAAGCGGCGCGTTTCTCTTCAGGGGGTTGTCACGTCAAGCTGCGTGCTTAACGATGACTTTCTTTTTACCTGTGATGTCGAGTACTAATTTCGATAATGAATTCGGCCCCGGAATCTATGCCACCAAGGATCTCAGCACCGCGCTCGATTACGCTGGATTAAACGGAGCTGTGATGGTGTTCAAGTACACTGACTACCAAGACCTTTCAGTCTGGAACCCGGATAAAGAACAGTGGAAGATTTTGACAGCATCTTGGCTGCAGATCCCCTTAACAGATCTCCAAATGCCTGATGAGCAAAAGGAAGCGGACGTGATACAGGGACCATTGTCGGCCGATCCATCCATGGCCAAGAAGCAGAAACGGTTTCTCAACCAGGGAGACAAAATTCAGATTGCATGTGTTAGTTATGAGAGCTGTAAGCGACTTGCTGCTTCGTTGATTGCTATAATATATCTTACAAGTTAGTCTATCTACACAAGTTGAGGACAGAGATCAATTGAATGATGGTCTCCATGAGCAAGTTCCCTAAAGCCACTCCATCAGAGGATGACAAACAAGTGCAAAATCAGCTTGAAAACAGAAGTTACTGTAAGGTCTGAGGGCCTGATTTCCTATCTTTCGCCAGCTTCCTAGCTGTGAAGATGGCTATGACCAAGTCCATGCACGATGAATCTTTTAGCAAAGTAATGGGTTTAAGAGTTTGACATGAGCCATATCGTCGCACCATCCCCCCTGCTCGCCTACTCACACTGTGGTTGCGCAACTCCAGGGCGGCACTGCTCGCCTACTACTAGAACAAGAACGGCAATGGATTTGGCGTCCGTAGAATTAGTGCTACTAGTACTACTAGTTAGGTCAGTATGTAATCTAATACAGGAGGTTGCTACCTTAGGTTTTTGACATAAATATTAGTAAGCAACCTGGCGAGCATAACCCTACCTTAGTAAATACCAGTAACCCATAGGTAATTACCAGTCATGTACCTGGTGACCTGACCACTCCGGTAAACCGATGCAGCTGGTTTACAAGGTACCTAGGCAAAGTTATCTAGGTACCCTATTAGGTATTGGAAGAGAAGATTCCATATCGTCTATCTTCCTCAGGGTTGCACAATGGTGAAATATCATTTCTGTTATCAAATCAGATCATCCCAAAGCGCCCAAACTGACGCCCATGTACTTAAATCTCAGGAGAAAAAGCTGCCTAGAGGAACCCGACTAAAGCAAAATCGCAAACGTCGAAGAGAGAACCTCCAAAATTCAACCCGTTGGTACATGAAAGAAAGGTACAAGATACAGAGAAGAAATATGATCAGCAGAGAATTAAGCGCTGATTCTCTCTTCCTCGTCAGGTACAGCCGCCCGCAGCTCCCATACGATGTCATAGCATTCGGCCAGCAGCGCATTGACGCTGCCCTGTCCTTCAGGAATGTCATTTCCCATGTAGAATTTGCCGTCGACCCGCATGTTGTCAATGGAGTTGAGCTGTGCGATGTCAACGTCTGGCCCTGCTGGGAAGCTGGGGGTTACTCACCTTCATGCTGTATGGGTACAGTTCCCGAGAATTCGACACGCCTCCCGACTCTTTGACTTCCAGGAGGCATCGTCGCAAGGTCTGCAACTGATTGTAGACTGGCAGCAAGGCCTCAGATACGGGTTCTGAAGAGATCAGAAGTGCGTAGATATAGGCGTAGCTCCTCCGAATGAGGTATAGTAATGTCTGCCAACAATCAGTAACAAGCCTCATCACGACTTTCCGGATACTTAATCCTTACACGCTGCGCATGAATATCTGCCGGCTGCCCTTCAGCATCCACAAAATTTCCGTCGACCCGAGCTTCATCAATACGGTCGAGTTTTCGCTGGTATCCGAAAAGGTCGGTCTCCCGAAGAGACCAGGCCTGAGTCACGGAGAGCCGATCCAGCTGGTTACGAATTTCAAGCAGCCGTTCGTATTGGTCGCGGAAGCGCTCGTCAATTTTCCCCTCTCTGTCAGACAAACAGTCAGTCACTCGGTCAGTCTACGGAGAAATGGGCGGGCTTACCGTTCCAGCACAATCTCAGTCCAACGCCAGCACCGGTCCAGTAGTTGTTTGACCCCCTCTTGCCCTTCTAGGGGCCTACCATCTGCTCCAACGAAGTCACCGTCCCTCATTGTCTCTTGGATTTTCGTCAATTGCTTCCGAAGATTGGTCACTTCCGTTGCGGAGAACTAGAAACCACGCACCATTAGCTCGTTCACTCATTGCCCGAACTAGACACGCCAAGTTTGAGGGACTACCTTCGATCGAGTATTGGCTGCCGATGTCGACCGCAGGACTGAAACAAGGGTCTCGTGGGTGGATGCGAGCTCAGGGTTCATGGCTGCAAGCCCTTTTCGCAACTTGTCCAATTTTAATTGACATTGTTCAAGGCGACTTTCCAGGAGCGTCATCAGCGCCGGGGAATATGCGTCTTGACCACGTTCGACTGTCTCACTCATGCTGGTCAGGGTCTTGGTGATTGAGCTGAGGTCTTTTGAGCTGTAAAAGCCAGCCTCTTCGAGGTGATCAAGCAGGCGCTGAGTCGAACAGGTCAGGAAACAGAATATTATGACGGAAACAGTTCAGATGGGACCGCCATACCTTGACCGTTGTCGCAAGCGAGTATCTATCATCGGGTAATGTCAGTTTACACAAAGACAGGACAATTCTCAGGCGAGTTAGTGAACATACACTGCGGGAGCCTCATTGTTCCTTCCCACAGTCAGGAACAGTAACGAGATCAATTGAAAGCAGTCGTCGAGTACGTAGTCGACTAGAAAAACCGATCAAAGATCTCAATTGTTAGCCCATCTTCCGCCATACCGACTATATCACGCGCAAGGCCCACTCAGATGCTAACGTCGGTTGTGTATCAGCCGGCGGTCTTGTTCCTTCCGCACGGCATTGAGCTTTTCCACCTCGGAGATGACTTCTTCGTATAGCGGGAGCACATCGCGAGACTTGATATAGGACGATTTGTCTTGTTTTAGCAGCAAGAGCGCATCTCTGGTGCGGAGAAGACGCTCCAGGATCGGCTGCTCCTGCGGGTCGAAAGGGACGGGGACGGCGGGCGAGTCCATGATGCCAATAGCAGAGGACAAAAGGACGAATGACGCAGAGCGAAAATGAGATGAAAATGTCGAATCGATATCAGAGGGTCAGTTAGTCGCACAGAATCGAAAATCATGCACCAGTTCAAAGAAGAGTCGGCCGTGTGGAGTAGAGGCGAGTAACGATGTCCGATTACCCCTCTAGCTAGTAGTAGATAGTGATTGGAAGCCGTCGGAACGAGGAGGGGTTTCTATGATGGCATCATCTTTTCCCTATCGGGCCTAGGTCAAAATCACGGGAAAGGTGGGGACTAATCCCGATCGGGACAGCCCTAAGCGAGGGCTTTTGCACCAAACACACAACTTCCGCTCTGGGAACAAGTGCCAGCCCGACCATCTCCATCGACAAGACAGCAGAAAAAAAAGTCTCCGTCTTCCTCTTCCTCTCTCCTCCTATCCCCATCCCTCTCGAGACTCCCAGTCAAGTCCAACCCGTCGACCACCATGTCTACTGCCGAGCTCGCTTGCTCCTACGCCGCCCTCATCCTCGCCGATGATGGCGTCGAGATCACCGTACGTATTGGTCCATGAATCTCTCGAAATCTGCGGCATGGAATCAGCAAACAAACTTTGGAAGAATGCACGAAAAGAGGAGGAAAATTCAGAACGGCAACGAAACTGCAAGGCAAATAAGGAACTGGACTGATTCATGGTTTTTTTATCGATTATAGGCCGACAAGATCCAGACCCTCCTCGGTGCTGCTAAGGTCGCCGATGTTGAGCCCATCTGGACTTCCCTCTTCGCCAAGGTAAATACTGGACCACCTTTTCGCGATGATTTTACATGACAATGGAACGAAATTGGGCCCGCGATCTGGACAAACGCTTACGCTGTGACTTATTCTTTTTCAGGCTCTTGAGGGCAAGGACATCAAGGACCTTCTGACCAACGTCGGCTCCGGCGGTGCTGCTGCCCCCGCTGCCGCTGGCGGTGCTGCTGCTGGTGCTGCCGCTCCCGCCGAGGCTGCTGCTGAGGAGAAGAAGGAAGAAGGTAAAGACTCGAAACCTTTGAGACTGGACTCCGCGAACAGGGACACTGATCGTTCGTACAGAGAAGGAGGAGTCCGACGAGGACATGGGCTTCGGTCTGTTCGACTAAGCGTCCTAATCCGTTCGACGTTCTTTTTTCTTTTTTTCCTCGTTTATCTCCTATCTCCATACACCCCTCGAATTTCTTGTACCCGATACAACGCGACTGCACGAAGACCAAAAAGGGAAAAAAAGAAGAATCAAACGGACAAGGACATCTGGTGGGACTGGGCGCTTTGCTTGCATGATGGGTTCCGTCGTGACAGAGGTACCGGTACGGATGACGCTAGGATTTCGGGCCGTCAAGTAAAGGGAGAATTGGCATATACATATCTGCCGAGGGCGAGATCGCTGTGGCCGCTCTCGGGTAGAATCATAATAGGTTCTCGAGAAAAGTTTTGCCGTTTGCTTGTTGCTAGATAGTTTTCTAGCATAGTTGCCCAGTTCTCATGCTATGTCTGTCATGCGACCATGAACAAAGGATTCCTTCTGCTGCAATTCTCCTGATTATATAAACTTCATAAATTCTTGTGTGTCCTCGTGTCTCCTCGGATAGTATATAACATAATAAGTTCTTGATATGCACCGTTGTAGCAATGTTGCAGTCAACCGAACCACCCAACGCCGTGCCGAATCTGCAGAACATACTCCGTCCCCTGGAAAGTAGAAAAAGAAAGAAATTACAGAGCTTTTGGGATGCAGTACAGGAAATGACAAGATATAACACAAAGCCTGCTCGGGGTAGTACATGAACCGCTGCTGAGCCATAAAGCATATCCTGCAGCGAAGAGCGAGATATCACGATACTGCAATCGTGAGCTGAGGACTCTGCACTGCGTAAAGGCGAAATTGTGCGAAGATGACAATATCCTCTGCCATCGTGCCCAAAGAGCCGATTAGCCAGGGTAGGTTCGTCACGACGTAATCCTTTTCCGTTGAATGGCAGAGAATCTACGAATGGTTAGACCAGGAATAGCGTATGATAGGGAGTAGTCTTCTACTTACGCCAGCGCCATAGGTAAGATTGCCCGTCAAAGAGAGGATGAAGAAAAGCAATGAAAGTCCTGATGAAAGTATCAATAAAAGGATTTTTCTTGGGTGAATTACCTTGAAGATCAAAGCACATACCTTCACATGACTTGTCGCTATAGTTCTTGTAGATCTGAGGAAGTCGCGCTCTAGAAGCTTACTGTCAGTCCAGCTCCACTTCCGTCAGAAGGCACACCAACCCCAGGTAACAAACGGCACTGACATATCCCAGCACTTGCGCGCCAGCTGCGGTGTCGACGCCCCCATTATGCTCCTTCGGGGCTGGTTTCCAGACCCCCGACTGCCAGGCGACCGTCCAACCCGCCATGCCGATGACGCAGATTGCCAGGACACTGCTGAAGTTCTTCACCCACGCCCTCCGGCCAACCTCGTTCTCCTCGATAATATTCGCTAGCGCGTCGTCCGTGTGACCGTGCCCACCTCGTCCGCTACGCTGCGACGTCACAGATCGACGTCGCGAAGCCGGACCCTGTTCCAGAGTATCGCTGAATCGACGGCCGAGTAACGGGGTCGTCGGGTCAGGGGTGACGGTGGAGGAGCGTCGACGACGGAGCAGACCCTCGCGACGAGCATTGCGGTTTCGGTAGTAGAGACATTGCGCGATGAGCACACCATCCGCAATACAGAAATAGACGGCAATGGTCACGATGACGGGAACGAGACCGGCCCAAGCGCCTCCGATCAGGTTGGTGATGTCGCCAATGAACCAGACGAAGAGGAAGAGGAGCGAGATGGCTTCAGCGTTCCCATTACAGTAGTTTTCAATGAGTTGGGGAACCTGCACGGAATAGCGATCAGCACTGGATCCTTGCTTGTCTCCTACAAACGGTTGATCACGAAATCCAGGCCGGTGTGATACATACCAGTAAGAAAATCCAACAGGTCAAGGAGATAGAACCCAGGAGACCAGAGGCAGCTTCACGCGGTGTTAGCGGGACAGAATTTCCCGCTGGAATATTTTCCTGGGCCAGTAAGAGGGACATTGCGAGTCTCTGCAACCCAAGCCCTGCGGTTGCAGAAAAGAAAGCGAGCGGAGCAACAATCAATGACACAGGTTAAGCCCTGGAAAACTTTGAGTGCCAACCGACGACGTCCCGAATTGAAGTGAGTCCAGCGCAGTCACTAGCCAAATTAAATCCAGCTTTCAAAGCTTTCAGATATCTGAAACAGTAAGAGATGAGTTTCCAGAGCGAAAAATGAAGGTTCGCCTTGATGCGACTATATTAATAGTCTCTTGAGTACGGAGTACTAGGCGGATCCGCTTGTCGCGATAAGAGGTTGTGACTAAGCGAGCACTGGGATTGGCTGCCTGTCTGCAAGGTAAGGTATTTCCACCTTTATCGCGGTGAAAGATGGAGTGATTCTGCAATATCGAGTGTGTATGGAGTATACTTTTGGAGGCTTCGCTCCAATTGTTCATATTTGCCTGTTTTGTATGGCCAGAGCGTGGGGGTGTAGATATATGTAGTGAGGCTTATCGCCGCGGAAGTATATATCCGGACGCGCATATCATCAGAACGACTGCGTAAGTATCACAAAGTTATGGCTACTCTGCTTCGAAAGACGGTGGATCAATATATTGCGGGCCATGTGAAGCCGACTGACTTTTATTGCTATACAGGGTATATATAACCAAGTAGACCAAGACCAGGAACTATGATCAGATTTCGTCCTCGTCGTCGTACTGCTGAAGTTCAAGCTCATTCTCGAGCATATCAACAACCATATCACCCATGATCTCCCTAATTCGCCCGTGAAGCAACTCTTGCCGGGCCTCATCCGGCTGCACAGCATCCAGGCCGTCCAGATACTCCGTCAGGGGAGAGTAGTCGACCACATCACCCCAGTTACCACGGTCGATCCCGTACTGATTCAAAAATGCTTGCAAGCTCTGCATACCATCTCCCAAAAGCCACTGCTCTAGTGACGCTCCCTGGTCCGCCATAGGATGTCGGCGCTCACCGCCAGCTTCTTCCTGATCGTTCTGGGATGAGACATCGTCGTCGTGGATGTCTTCATTGTCGCCCCCGCGGAATCGAGGAAAATGAAGCGCTCCGTTGTTCAGCTGGTCTAGCAGATCGCGAAGCCATTGCGGTCGGCCTACTTCTGGCATCTGCGCCAAATAGGAGGGCGTTGGGTCCGATTGCTGGCGATGAGCCTCGGAATCGTAAGGCGGGAGAGGATCAGATGACGAGATTCGCCCTGAAACAAAGCGTCCGGGCAAATGAGTTGTCACGCGGGGTATATCCGAGAGAACGACATGGCGTGCAATGTCTAGAGTGATTTCCGGAGGTTCGATGGGCTCTTCTTCCTCTGGAAGAGTGTCGGCGATTTCCACGATCAGGGAGACCGCTTCAGGGGTATTCCAGAGGTCTTTGGCTCTGACAATATAGAGTTCAGTGAGCAACTCGTGGGCGTCTGTCGGAGGCATCTTGCCCCATATGCGCTTGGGCATGGGTTGGATATCCAACTCCTGCGCAAGCTTACAAAATACCCATGGGTATCTTGACATGGCACGGCGCAGCTGCTCGCGGCATTCCTTTGGTTTGTTTAACCGAAGATATGCCAGTGCGAGCGAGCATTGGATGTTAGGCAACAGCGCCCAGTCCTCGCTCAGTCTAGTTTGTGTGCACAAATCGACAAAGTGTGCGTATTCTCGGCCCCGAAGCGCCAGATGGTCGATCAAAAGCCTGATGCAATATGGGTCGTCATCATTCAGGCTCAACAGTAGCTTAGCCCATTCATATGCTGTTCTCCACGTTCCTTTCATCCCCAGATTCGCAATGTACCTCCAACCCACAAGCCACAGCTCACGATTTGCCATGTGGACAAAGTCGAGTTTTGCTTGACCTTCCTTTAAGCGATTGCCGAACGACGAGTGAGCCGAGCGCCCAATATTGAACAGGGCTCGCTCGAGGAGATCGGCGGAAACAGCATGATCGCCCTGATGCTTCGCTATCTCGGACACTTGAAGGAGAGTAGAGATGTGGTACGGGTTATATTGCAAGAGGTGTATCATTCGTTGCGGATCCATGGACTCGACGCACATATCAAATTGTCTTTGCACGTCTGTATACGCAGAGTTGTGGACGATTTGGTATTTCGTAGCTCCACTGGGCAGTTTTTCTACCAGCTCCATTCCCAAACCACCACTGGGAGCGCGTGGCCACTCGTCTTTGCCCTGCATGAGAACATTCCGCCTCTGCGTAGTCCCCGCTAGACTTAGACCTTTACTGGCAGGACTATACCTACCAGTCAAAGCGCGACCGAGATCAACCGTTTCCCTATTTCTATCTCTCCTGCGACCCGTCCCAGATTCTTCGTCGAAACTCTCCAATACGACATTCCCAAACAACCTTCGCATCTCATTCATGGCGTTGAGGAATTTAGGTTCAATCAAAAGCAGCTCCTCTGGTGCCCTGGGGAACAATGTGCCGCGAACATCCTCTGGGGATACAGCTGCAGCCTTTCGACTGTCAGTACCCTTGGATTCGACAGCTAGTTCCTTTAAAGCTCGATCAATTTCGTCCAGCTCATCGTCTAACTTGGCACCGGCAGCTCCTCCTATGGCCGTAGGCTCTGCTGCAGCCGCCGCCTTCTTCTTCTTGTTCTTCTTTTTCTTCTTCTTACTCGGGTCTGCGGATTTTGCGGGAACTGGGACATCTTCCGGCGGCTGAGTCACCGTCTCTTCGACATCGCGATCAGACCCGTGTTCCTCATCCTCATCGTCGCCAATGTTGAGAAGATCAAAAGCATTCAGCTTCGGCTTTGAGGGCCGGATTACCGGCTCGTACTCATTCAAATCATCACTATCTTGCTCCGCTTGTAGCTGGGCTTGCTGCAACTCTTGCTCGCGAAGCTTCTGCAGCTTGCGAATCGCTCGGGAGGACATTCAGGGTCGAGTTTCGGAGGACTTTGAGACTGTATGTCAGTAATATCCGACCTCTAAATGGTTTGATGGCAATTAGTCCTCGAATGGTCAATTTCTGGCAGATATTTGGAGAAGAACGAAGACTGCGGACATGACGACACAGCCCACCTAGGCTTAGTGCGGGACCTGTAGAACCAACCTACAGATTACCGTATGGTACCTTACCGTTTTAGTACCCAATATTACCATACACTTACCGTTATCTATCACATGACGTTATCATCTCCTTGAATGCCTTAATGCCTGGGGACCACCTCCACGTTTCTGGAGATCAACTGCCAGGGCGAACAACACCATTCTGCTTTTCCGTACCAGCCTTGCTGGATTCTACGGTTTCTCAATTGTCTGAACCTTACCGTCAGTTCAATGCGTCGCTTGGCCGTCCAGACTTTCCGTACTGCTCGTCGTGTACCAGTATGGAAGGTCGGTGCTAGGAAACCGTGCGCTGTGTCGTTCTCCCATAGCCAGCCTTTAGGTCTCCGTCTCTCCTCCCGCGGACGACATCCCTCCTTCATTCCAGCGACCTTGCAGTCATCGATGCATCTCCGAAATTTTTCTCTTGCGGTGATATCGACGGTTGTTGCATCTGGCGCTTGGTACGCTTACCAAGGTAGCAGCTCTCAGCAGAGCTCTGTGGCCGGGCTGAATACGACGTCCCCATCGCAGATACGGTCGATAGCTACAGACGCATCTTCAGGAGCGCACGCTGAAGAAGCCGCGGAATCTACCAGACGTGCGATCCTCGTGGACAATGATCAATTCTACACGGCAACACTATCTGGAGACCAGCCTCTTTACAAGCAGACAGACGATTCCGACCGCCGAATTCTAGAGATGTTGACGCCTGAACAGGCGACACAGAAGTTGAGGAAGAATGAGCAGTCTTTTATGGTGAACCGGGGCAAAGGTGTCGTCCGATACGATGTCGTCCAGGTTCCGAGCAACTCACCAATCGAGGATGATCATGCCGAGAAGATTGTCGAAGTGCCTTCCTCTGTGGCTGCTGCGAACGAAGGCGAGTCGAATAGTGATTGGATGTTCTGGGCTGTATTTGACGGTCATTCGTAAGGCTGCTGCTTAATAACCCATACTTGCGAATTCTAACGTCTGAGCTAGGGGGTGGACAACGTCGGCCAAACTGCGCAATGTTCTGATTTCATACGTGGCCCGAGAGCTGAACACGACCTACAAGGCTGCAGCTACCAATCCCTCCCTTGTTAGCCCATCATCCGAAGCCGTGGATGCGGCGATCAAGCAAGCTTTTGTCCGCCTTGATAACGATATCGTGCACAGCAGTGTCGATAAGGTCCTCAAATCCAACTCCCGCCGAGTCGCTGCTGAGCTACTTGCCCCCGCTCTCTCCGGATCATGTGCTCTGCTTGCATTCTATGACTCGCAGTCCAAAGACCTCAAGATCGCCTGTGCTGGTGACTCAAGAGCTGTTCTTGGCCGCCGTGGACCTACCGGAAAATGGACGGCAACAGCACTTTCTGAGGACCAGACCGGTGGCACCCCTTCAGAAATGAAGCGTCTGCAGGAGGAGCACCCCGGCGAACCGAATGTTGTGCGTAACGGAAGAATTCTCGGACAACTGGAGCCTAGCCGTTCATTTGGAGATGCATTCTACAAGTGGAGCAAGGAAACGCAGGAAAAAATCAAGAAGCAGTTTTTCGGAAGAACCCCTCACCCCCTGTTGAAGACTCCTCCTTATGTCACCGCCGAACCTGTCATCACGACCACGAAGATTGAGCCTAGTAAGGGTGACTTTGTCGTCATGGCTACGGACGGCCTCTGGGAAATGCTGAGCAATGAAGAAGTCGTCGGTCTGGTGGGCCAATGGGTTGACCAGCAGCGCTCTGGCAACAACGGAACCAACAAGGCGTGGCTGCAGAGCTGGTTTGGCATAGACGATAAGCATTTGCCCGTGGAGGCACCCAAGGAGACGACCACGGAAGGCCAGCGCCGTCCGATCCGTCAGCAACAGTACGATATTTCGGGCGTTGCCAGTCGCTTTGTTGTAGAAGACAAGAACGCGGCAACTCATCTCGTGCGCAACGCGATGGGTGGCAAGGACAGGGACATGGTTTGCGCTTTGCTCACACTCCCCAGTCCGTACTCCCGAAGATACCGGTAAGCAATACTCCTTTATTTCTTGCACTTTGCGCTACAGTCTCTATTTTTGAAAATGAACTCACAATTTCGCCAGCGACGACATTACCGTTGAGGTTATCTTCTTCGGCGACGGCCCTAACAACCGGACCATCACCGTCAACCAGGAAGCCAGCGCGTCGGAGGAAAATCAGAAGGCCAAGCTATGATAGCATTGATATCTTGTCGAAACAATAACATCTAGATTCGCGTTTTCCTCCAGCGTGGGGACGCCGCTTTCTCCTACTGGTCTTTACTTTCTGATTTGCGTTTCTGGGGAGGATACCATCGGATGAATCTTTCAACCGGCTCTCCCGGGGTGGACTTAGTTATTTTCGATGTGCACATTCTGGCATGGTTCTTCGGGTCTGGCGTTGATGATACTACCGAGTGGCAATACTCATGTGTTGTTCAGCATAGTAGATTTGCAATCTTGAGGGTATGATTCTGGACTTGGGAGTACTCTCGTCCATATGCCTTTGATCAGAATATATACAGATCCCAGCGCGCAGGGGAAAACATCTCCTGATAAGGAAACAACAAAAGTGCTCATGGGGAGGGGAACAACAAAAGCGAATATAACAGAGAAATCAAGGAAAATTGAACAACGAGCTGGAAAATGGAAATTCAAAGTAAAAATAGAATAGTGAATTCATCTGAGGGTGGCAGCGAGGCTGTCCACTACGAGTCACGTGGGCCCACGTGGACCCACGTGGATCAAGAGAGCAAAGTGAAGCCACGTGATGAGTCATGCCCTGAAACATTTCAGTGAGTATAGATCTGAGGGAGTCAAGATATCTTCCATCTTTGCTCAGGAAGAGAATTTTGAGGACTATCCAAGATGCTGGTCTCGAGAGTTCTTTAGAAGGAGCTTCCCTTCAATGTATTCCATTAGATGTATGGCATGCTTAGAATAAATGCCAGGCGTCTACTGTTGGTGCAGGCAGACTGATCTTAGATATAGATGGCTAAAGGTACTCAAGGGGGTAGGAACATGATCGTTGTGAATTTAGATATCCGCTTCTTGCAAATTAGAAGAGAGAGAGTAATGAAATAGTATGATATTACTACTCTACAACGACGACATCCCTGTCTAGAGGATGGTGTCGTCTCAGACAGCGTCAATCACGACCCTTTTGGGACGGGAGCGAGCAAGTTTCTCTAAGCACAGTGACTGTTGCTTCATGAATTTTGCCGCACTTTTCTCACTCCCTTCCTATCTATACGCTGATGCATATCACTCTCCTTTCTCAACCTCGAAGTCTTTCCTCTTCCAGACACCTTGTCCCGCTGACAGTGCTTCTTGGAAAAAGCAAGTTGAAATCCACTTGTGGTTTGGAATTGCTCACACACTACAACCCAGCCCAAAAATCTGCAAGTGCCCGATTGTGTTCCGTCTCTTGACTGATTGTCCTGTTCTGTGATCTTGTCCGTCTGACAATTCCAATAAGATCATTCCTTCAAGGTTGCGTCTTTGCCATCCGAAGTCAGAACAGCATTCAACCGGTAAGTCATCGGGCCTGAATAATAGACCTTCAAGTTCACCAGCTGATCTGGGGATCACTTCTCTTAAAGAGCAGTACCAACATGGAAGACTGGGAGAAGGACGAGTTTCTCGACTTTTGGGTCACCGAAAACGTTGGAATCGAGTATCATGCTGTTGTGCCCCCAGAAAACCAGGCCGAGGACGCAAAATCTCCAGCTAGAAATGATGCTGGAGCTGAAAACAAGGACAACCAAGATCTCATCAAACATGGACTCGGAATCCGACTCCAAGAGGGTGACGTCGCTGAAAACGAAAGCAAGGGCTTTCAATTTCCGGCTGGAGTCAACCCAGCTGCTGAGAACGCGAATGTTCAGAATCCCGTCGAAGTTGACATAGGATCCGAAGATAGAGGTGGGGCCCCCGTCGAATCTGCTGCGCCTGAAGGCCCCATGACGCGAGAGGAAATAATGTCTAAATGGTTTTCTGGCCTCGGCAAGCCTGATCCGCGCGTTCCTGAGGAGGACGCGAGCGCTCAAGGGCTTGAAAGAGCGTGTGACACAGCGGAGCAGGAACATTGGTTTTACGAGCCGTCGAGCGGCACGTTCATCAGATAGCACGGAGCTTTACCGCCTGAGTGGAGCCTAATCGGATGCACAAGTGCCACATACCTCAGCTTCTCTAAGTTGGGATCAGCACGAGGCGGAGGGCCATTTTGGCTTGTGTGACCCTGAGAGGCTGTCTCCATCTCGACGCTTCTTCCACCTATCACTGTAATCTGATTCTCGCATCCTATTTTCATCTGTGTTCTCCAGTTCGTCCATCATACCTGCTGTTCCTATTGGTTTCACTGCCATCTGTACTCCGCGTGAGGTGCAATCTTGTTTCATTTTTTCAGCGAAGATGTCTTTTCAGCCAGTTGAGGATAGCCAATATGAATTTGTCTCCAAGGTTCAAGGAGTGGTTTTGACATCATGTATCTCTCCAGTAAGAAAGTTTGCAAAGTAGCAATGTTCGTACTGCTTATCCAGTAAATCATGAGCGCAGAAGGCATCTCGTACAGATAAGACGAGACGCCGATATTCAAGGCGAGCGCTTGGATCAGTACCCTGATACCACGCACGGTCAGGTTCTTTGCAATCTCGATGCGCGGCAAGTCGGCCATGTCAGATAGAGAGGGAGCCTTCCACCCAGCACGAATGTTGAGTATGATTGACAGAGTCAGTGCGGCTGGAAGAAGACCCGTCGAGTCCCCAGCTAAGAGGTCGGGGAACCAGAGGGCTCCTTCAGTGGCCAGCGACGGCTCAACCGCCAAGTGGACCGCCGTGCTTGGCTCTGCAGAGGACGGTTCAACCAGGGAGAGGAGGTACGGTACGAGACCCTTGTTATTTCCAGACATGGCTCGGAGGCTCTCCATAACTGAGATCCAGATCGGAATCTGCAGGAAGCTGACAGGTTTCCAGAATCGGGGCACGTCCCAGCGCTTGTGCAGTTCCTTCCGCTTCGCCTTGACCTTCGTCGCCAGCTCTCGGATTGCCTCTCTCGGGAGGATTGGATTGTCATTCTCGGCATCGATGCGCTTTTTGATTTGGGTCTGAAAATGTTTCCTCCACGAATGAAGTAGCGGAGCTATGTCTCGCTCCTTGCGTGCTTGGATTTTGGTGTACATCTGCAGCGGCATCGCAACGGTGGTTCGGACAATTAAGGCGGTCAATGGGATGGACATGGCCCATGGGAGGCCACTGATCGAATGAACACCATGAATGAAGCTCGACGAAACCTCCAGCACTTCATTGATAAAAGGAGATGGCCGCGTGGGGTGGAAATGCCGTATCTGCTGGGCCACCCGCTTACCGACAGTATGCGGCGAACGGAGCGAAGGACGAAGCGGTCTCATCGTTATGGACAGCTCAATTGCTGAAAAGAGGGAATTGAAACAAAGATGAACCAAAGACAGGAAATGAAATATTTACTCTGACAAAAAGGAATGAGAGGAGATTAATATACTCTTACATGCAGCAGTGCATGTGCGGTACTGCTGGTCTCCCAACACTTAGGAAGAAAACAAAAGTGATGCTCCAGAAGCTGCGGATAGAGAAAGTCGAAGCTCTATCACGTGGTGTTTCACGCTACAATACCTGACAGTACCGTATAGTATCAAACAGAACAGGAGAGAACATTACATACATCACATACATTACATACCTGCACTGTTCACTGTTATCGTCAGGTGCTGTTATCGCCAGGTGCTGTTATCGCCAGGTGTTATCGATAGAGAAACGCCAAATAATACAGCTGCTATTTTGAGCCGAATATGATCAGTCGGCAGTCGTCAGCCGGACATCCCACCCATTATTTTCTGTCCACGACTCCCCGATCTGCAAGAAACCTCCATCGACTATGTCTCTTGTTTCGAGTTCATCATGATGCTGTTTCTGTTAAAGACATTCCTCACACTTCTCGCCCTCCTTGCGACCTGCGTCCTCCTCCCCCAGCTCCCCTTGGGGCTTCTCCGCTTCGTGCTCCGTGGTGTCGGATGGGTTATTCAGAAGAGAACCCGGTCTCGCAGGGAGTATCTAATCTCAAGAGTTCGAGTGGATGAGGAGGAACAGCTGGTGAAGCGAGCCAAGTCGTCTCCCCGGGGAGAGGATGAGGACTGGGAGAAGGTTGATAGCTCGAGTTCCAGCTCCGGGACAGCTGGCCCCAGCAAGAAAGGCGGGAATAGCAACAACAAAGGCCCGGAAGATGCAGACTGGGAGGGTATCGTTGGATTCTTCCACCCTTTCTGGTAGGAGAAATCCCAGAAGCTGTACCAGGGACCAACATTCGCTAACGATCTTGAACGGTTGACTTAGTAACGCTGGCGGTGGAGGAGAACGTGTTCTTTGGGAAGCTGTAAGAGCCACGCAACGGCGATGGCCCAAGGCAATCTGCGCTATATATACTGGTGACCACGAGGTCAACAAGACGGCCATGCTGGAGAGGGTAGAGGTGAGTCTAGCCGGTCTGCGTACGAAGGACTCGCTGAGACAAGGTCCAACCCCTGCAGAACCGCTTCAATATTCAACTTCATGCGCCCACTGTTGTTCTGCTCTATTTGACTACACGTAAATATGTTCTGAGCAGCATGTATCCGTACATGACCCTTCTGGGACAGTCTCTCGGGTCCCTGGTGGTTGCCTATGACGCCTTCAACCTGCTCGTCCCGGATGTGTTCCTCGACACCATGGGCTACGCATTCACCCTTGCGTTCTGCAAGATGCTTTTCCCCTCTGTTCCTACAGGTGCATACGTCCACTATCCCACCATCTCGACCGACATGCTTCAATCCCTGGATGACAGCACGGGCCTAAAAGGTGTCAATGCGGGTGCGGGCAAGGGGGTCAAGGGTCAGGTCAAGCGCAAGTACTGGCTGGCTTTTGCCCGTCTCTACGGATGGGTCGGAGGCCATGTTGACGTTGTCATGTGCAACTCTTCCTGGACATCGGCACATATCCGGACCATCTGGGGCCCCGCACGGACGCGCAGTACCTTCAAAGATCCCGCCGTCATCTTCCCGCCCACGGCAGTGTCCGAGATCGAGTCGACCATCACTGTCGATGCGGACTCGGAGCGCAGCCGGGAACCCATCATCCTGTATATCGCCCAATTCCGTCCCGAGAAAAACCACCCGCTGGTCCTGCGCTCGTTCGCCCGCTTCCTCAACGAACGCAAGAAGAACCCCGCCTCGGCCGCCTTCCCCCAGCCCAAACTGGTCCTCATCGGCTCCGTCCGGCACGCCAGCCCGGACGAAACGCACATTTACAACCTCCGGCTGCTGGCCCATGAGCTCCGCATCCGCGACCACACCACTTTCCTCTGCGACGCGAGCTGGCCCACCATCCTGTCGCATCTGCGCTCCGCCTCAGTCGGCGTCAACGCCATGTGGAACGAGCACTTTGGCATCTGCGTCGTCGAGTACCAAGCCGCAGGCCTGATCAGCGTCGTCCACGACTCCGGCGGCCCGCGCGAGGACATCGTCATCGACCTCGGCGACGGAGCGACGGGCTTCCGCGCCTCGACCGAGGACGAGTTCGCCGCCGCGTTCGAGGCCGCCCTGGCCCTGCCGGCGGAGGAGAAAGTCGCCATGCGCCTGCGCGCCCGTCAGTCCGCCCTGCGTTTCACCGAGGAGGAGTTTTCTCAGAAATGGATCGAGGAGGTTGGGAAGTTGGTCGAGATGCGCCGCCGATGAATTGCCAACACCCAGGTCGAGGAGTAGCTTTCATTCCGGATAGTCTGTCTCTGTGTATACCCTACCCTTACAATTTGTTTCTTCCCCTCATAATGTTGTATAAGCTTAAGCTTAGACGCCGATATCGGTATAGATGTTGTCATGGTTTATACTCTCGGCTCGATCATGAGCTCTAATCCAGCCTACAATCATCCCACCAGGCAATTCAATCCAAGGTGAAAAGTCTCACCGATATTCAGACCAGTCAATCATAAGACCGAATCCATTCTTAGTTCAAAGTATCCTGAGCAAGAACCACCAAAGAGACAGCTCGACACAAACAGTTGGAGCAAATCCATGGGTATGAGTCTCAAAAGTCATCATGAACACGTAACAGGAGGTTCGTAAACCCCATTAGGGTAGGTAGCCTAAGAGGACTGAAGAAGAATATAAGACCAAAGGGGGGAATAAAGCCAGGCAGAAGAAGATCGAAAAAGAAATGAAGCGAAAATAAAGGGATGAAAGAAGGTATATCCACCGGTTGTTTGCCCCATCTTTGTGATCCCACACCTTTTTATCTCAACGCCAAAAATCCATCTATATAGTTGTCAAAACAAATCACACTTCCCTATGCTTGCGCGACGCAGGGGTCTGAAATCCAGAGTATAAATGTGAAGTCTACCTCAAGCTGTGCACGTGAGAACGTGAAGACAGCAGACAGACAGACAGCGCAGAAACCATAGTCTGATCGACGAGGCATGCCCCATCATTGATCAGCCTTTCCAGTCAGGATCGATATAAGTGGTATCTCCAGGGGAGACACCTGACATCTGACCCTGATGGTTGACTCCATAGAAACTACCGGGAGCAGAATACCCAGCATTGATACCGGATACGCTGCTGATCCCCGAATCGTCATCCTCAAAACCAAACTCGTTGCCGGAGCTGGCGTCGAAGCTGCTCCGGCCCCCTATGTCGCTGGGATCATCCGCCGTGGCGGCAATCTGGTCCCACTGCAGGGTCTGGAGAGCCGGATATTGAGCGAGCAGCGCGGCAGGCAGCACAAAATTACCAGCATGTGGGCCATCCACCGGTACCATCACTTGTTGTGGAAGTGGCTGCAAATGCTGTTGTTGCTGCTGATCCATGAGCGACCGCTCACGCTCTTGTGACTCCTCATCCAGCAGCGGCTTGATACAGATCCGCCCTGCTTCCGAACGGAAATGACGCCCCAGAGCGTCCGCTCGGGCGAATCGGCGACCGCAACCCCACTGTCCGCCGCGGGAGAGTTCTCCTTGACAAACGAACTTCTTCTCGCCCGAGTGCAGCCCTTCATGCCGTTTACGATCATGCTGTCGGGCGAAGGCTTTGCCACATACAGTGCAGACAAACGGCCTCTCGTCCGTG